GGAGTGTCGGATGAACGGATGATCCGACACTCCCGGCGGAGAGACCAGGGGCCCGCCGCGCGCTGGATAACGATCCGGCGGCCGGCAACTTGCTGGGCCCCTCCAGAGCCTGAGGCCCCGGGCGCCCGCACCGCCTGCACCGGCGGTAGTTCCGCCACTGCAGTGCTGCTACATAAAGAGGAGGGGGATAGGAGAGGTCACACCAACATGGTGCACGTAAAAATAGCATTATTTCTACATAGAAATGGTTGCAGATTAGGTATAAAAGGCCTTCTTGAAATCCTTGCTTAAAGTAGAACTATGGTGTTGAGGCTTTCCCCCATAGTTCTCCTCAGGGTAACGGGAGGACACAAACTAGCGTCCTCCCGTCACCCTAAGCTCAGTATATAGACTAGCGTCCTCTCGTGACCTAAAGCTCAGTATACAGTCAGCTACAGCTCGCGGTATACTGAGACGCCGCAGCCCAGTTTATGGACAGTAGAGTTTTTTACATTATTTATAAGCCCCCACTGACCTCTGTAGCTGCAGCAGGCAGTGGAGCAATTGGCCCACAGGGCCCATTAACACTATGTGTTGCATTAAGGCTTGCTGCTTTAAGCATTAGGTCCTAGCAGCACACCTTGCAAGAGATCTATGGAGTCAGTGTTTTTCCCCATCGTTCTCCTCGGGGTCACGGGAGGACATAAACTAGCGTCCTCTTGTGATCCAAACCTCAGTATATAGGGAGCTGCAGCTCGCGGTATACTGAGACCGCCGCAGCCGGGACGGATCCTGACATTACTGTCGAGATCCACCCAGCTGCGTGAGTGACAGCTGGCATTTGTCACCCCCTCCCCCCCCCTCATAGTTTTCCTTTTAATAGCTCACTGGTAGTTGGTGACTGTCTGCCCATAAAGTTGTAATTGGTGAGGGTTTTTCAGCAATCCCGGCCAATAGAGATGAGGTGCTTGCAGTAACTCCCACGGATGGCACCGTGTAATGCACAAAGTAGAAAGAATAGGAAAGAATAGGTGACACATCTTTTGCCCTGAGGAAGGGACCCTGCGTGGCCCCGAAACGTTGGCTATTTGACTATTGTGACACGTATGTCCAATAAAAAGGACTTATCTATTTGAAATCATTTTGAGTGCTGGTAACCTATTCTTTCTACTGTCTGCCCATAAAGACTCTTAAGGCTCTGTTCACACCTAGGCGTAACGAATATGCGCGTTTCTCGCGCGTTTCGTGACGCGCGTTTCCGAGGGCTAATTGGCGGTATCCCAATGGAAACACGCAACAAAAACGCTGCAAAGAAGCTCATGTACCTTTTCAGGCGTAGGCCGTTTTGTAGCGCGTTAGGGGCGGGCTGAAATACGGCAAGGTGTGAACCATACCCACAGAAAACAATGGGATTTTCATGTTTGAGCGTTTTGTAGAGCGTTCGTAGAGCGTTGAACGCGCTACAAAACGTACAGGTGTGAACCAGGCCTAAAATGTTACCTGGTTGAAGCAGAGTTTAACATTGAACATAAAATTGAGGTTTAGATTAAATGAGAGACCGCATTCCTTTCAGAAATACATCAGCCACCGGTGTTGTTGAATCAGAGATGAGGGTAATAACATGGATATGCAGCAAAACGTGGGCAATACTTCTGACCTACTAGAAGGACGTGATTGTGTGGAGGGCATCAGCTTAGCCATTGTATCTGGATAACCGTCAGGGTACATTTCCATCGTAAGCGCTCTTGTATCTCATACGTTTGAGGCATGGTGGGCTGGCTCCCTTTACGCCTACTGGCCACATTGTGACCTGTGTCTCTGTTTTTCAGATCACGTGAACGGCCACTGCACGAGTCCAACATCGCAGACCTGTACTTCGGGCAAACGCATCTCCAGTGCTGATGGCACGAAGTCCAACAGGAGGGGTCCTGCGAGACCACCTTTCCGGAAGGCCCAGTCTGCGGCGTGCATGGAGATAACGCTCCCCGTCACTAATGAAGGTAAGGACATTTGTGAGGGTGACCGTCTGTACAGAGGTGACCCGTAGAGATCCAACATGTATTATCTCCCGCAGAGGGCGCGGATCACCCATGTACATACAAGCACCCGTTGTGTGATAACCAGTAACGTTGTTTGTACCTTATGATCCCACGTCTAGATATTATTACTGTTTTGTATCTTTGGTACAAGTTTAAGACATGACACCTCACCTCCCCAAGGGCAGCCCACCTGGTCCGATACTTACCTCTGCCCCCATTCCAGCAATCTTCTTTATGCGGCCCTGCTCAAAAGTGCATAGCCTATGGCTCCCAATAGGAAAGAAAGGGCTGCAGCACACACGTGCAGGATGAGGAGAACCTGGCGGAAGGAATGCTCTGCAGTTTTGGGCAGGGCCTCCTAGTACATTGCTGGAACAGGGGCAGGAGGTAAGCATCGGAACAGGTGGGCTGCATTCAGGGGGGTGGAGGCATGCCTAAAAGGACCAAAGGTACCATTGAAGGCATGTCACAGAAACTCTCTATGTATGGACACATGTAGGTGGCATGACCCTGTGTCACAATGATCACTTCCTGTTCCAATAAATGTAAATGGCATGACCTCGTGTCAATCTGATAACACATTTTGTTTGGATACATGTAGATGGCATGCTCCCGTGAAACAGTATTAGCAACATGTAGTTGGCATGACCCTGTCTTGTAGTAATAGCAGTCTGTGTTTAGATGCCTATAGATGGTCTCTGTGTATTGTCCACGGTTCGTGGTGTAGTTTGTAGTTGTAGTTCTTGCTTCAGCCTGTTAGTCACTTCCTCCTGTGTCTCTTCTTTTTAGTTCGTATGTAGTGTTGCTCGTCTCTGTTTTTGTCTGGTTATGATCTGCTCCAGCAGTTATTCTTATTATAGAGAAGAGATAAAATGCTTTATACGTTTTTATTATCACTGTGATGGGTGTTAGTAGATGGGGGAGGGGAGTGGTAGAGTGGAGGAGCGGAGGAGTTATAGCAGAGAGTGTTCCTTTATCCCAGGGTGATGGTGGCATCCTGTACTATAAAAAGCATCCTCATCCTTCATTTTCACTTCATTCAGCAGCTTCAATTTCTAAATTATTTATTTCTCTTCATTTATATAATGCTGCTGTGAGCCTCGCACACAAGGCCTGTTCCAGTGTATGGGATGCCAGAGCACAGCCTGCCCTCCACAGTAACACAGGCATACACACTGAGACCAGTCTGATAAGGAAGCAAGGTTTTATTGTTCAGGTCCCCCAGGAGCTTTGTCATAATGTGCAGGTATGTGCAGCATAGTCACACATCATGGTAATCATACTTTGTCCAGTGCCCCCTTCCAGCGATTCCACGATCTGCCCTTACATGAGCCCTTCCACAATCTCCCCTTCCACAATCTCCTCTTCCACAATCTCCTCTTAAACAATTTCCTTCCAAAATCTCCTCCTCCACAATCTCCCCTTCCACAATCTCCTCTTCCACAATCTCCTCTTCCACAATCTCCTCTTCCACAATCTCCCCTTCCACAATCTCCTCTTCCACAATCTCCTCTTACACAATCTCCTCTTACACAATCTCCTCTTACACAATCTCCTCTTACACAATCTCCTCTTACACAATCTCCTCTTACACCATCTCCCCCTTTCCACAAGCCCTTCCATGCTCTGCCTTGTTGCTTCAACTCTTGCACTTCCATTCCTTCTCAGTCTTCTTCCAGGAGTCTTCAGCCACCATGATTGGCTGGGCCGGGATCACGTAACTCCTGCTCATATGCACAGGAGTTCTTTCATGGTTCTCCTACTTTGTAAAGTGCCCCCTTCCAGCGCTTCCACGATTTTTCACACAGCCACAGCCTGTGTGCAGACCCAAGAGCTCACCACTGTAAATGAGAGCTAAAAAAGGGAAAGTGTATCTAAACATTTGTAGGTACCCTGATTCCCAAAATAATTTGTCCAGAACTGATCCCCCAGAACACTTCAGCAGTCCTAAATACCGTACTATTGGGATGCACCTTGACATTGGCAGGCAATGCACACAGCAGACCGACGCCTCTCCGACACTGGTGACCAGGGCCGGATTTCCCACAAGGCCAAACCAAGGCCCGGCCTTGGGGCAGCAGGGGTGGGGAATTCCTATCTCCCAATGCCCGGGACATGCAGTTCCGGGTGCCGGGCGGGTAGTTCTTTTCTACGTTTAGCCCGGCTTTGGGCAAGCAGAGGTAAATGTACAGCGGGGAAGCCGCCGCTTGTTTTGTACAAGTGATCCCGGCACTTGTATGCAGCCTGCAGGTCTGCCATTCTCCATGGGGGGGTAGAGGGGCGCATTGAGGAGCCTGGCCTTGGGGCAGCAGAGAGTAAATCCGGTGATCTGTCGACACTGAGAACTTATCGAGTTCTGCGACCGCCTGACTTCCGGTTTCGTTACAACTAAGAGGTTTGCCCAAGAAACTTGTTGTGCACGAGCGCCAGCCAAGGCATTGCCCTTAGTAATCCAGCACGTTGTTAATCTCACGTGCCCCACTGAAGCAGCGGCCATATTGAGTGGGGCACGTGAGATGAATAACGTACTGGATGAGTGTGATCCTAGTTACTTTTATTACTTCATTGCTGTGCTGTATGTGTATAGGTCATTGCTGTGCGGTATGTGTATAGGGCATTGCTGTGCTGTATGTGTATAGGGCATTGCTGTGCTGTATGTGTATAGGGCATTGCTGTGCTGTATGTGTATAGGGCATTGCTGTGCTGTATGTGTATAGGGCATTGCTGTGCTGTATGTGTATAGGGCATTGCTGTGCTGTATGTGTATAGGGCATTGCTGTGCTGTATGTGTATAGGGCATTGCTGTGCTGTATGTGTATAGGGCATTGCTGTGCTGTATGTGTATAGGGCATTGCTGTGCTGTATGTGTATAGGGCATTGCTGTGCTGTATGTGTATAGGGCATTGCTGTGCTGTATGTGTATAGGGCATTGCTGTGCTGTATGTGTATAGGGCATTGCTGTGCTGTATGTGTATAGGGCATTGCTGTGCTGTATGTGTATAGGGCATTGCTGTGCTGTATGTGTATAGGGCATTGCTGTGCTGTATGTGTATAGGGCATTGCTGTGCTGTATGTGTATAGGGCATTGCTGTGCTGTATGTGTATAGTTAATCGCTGTGCTATGTGTGTATAGTTCATCGCTGTGCTGTACGTGTATAGGTCATTGCTGTGCTGTATGTGTATAGGCCAATGTAGTTGGATCTGTATGTGCGTTATAATTAATCGAAATTAATCGATGAAATTTTTTTTTCGATTAATCGAACACGAAAATTTGAATCATTACAAGTGTCGACAGATCACCGGCGACTGGTTACTGTGTGGATCTCTATTCCCATTCACCGTGGAGAAGCAGATGTCCACACACGGCTGACACGGACTTCACGGGCCGGGACTAATCAGATTAAACAGATTTGCAGGCATCATCCGGAGATGTGTGCGCTGACACCCGGAATCTGCCAAACACAACTTCCTTATCCCATTATTAGGTGAGTGCGGTGTCCAGGCGCGCAGACTGACAGCAGATACAAATCTCATTGTGTCCCGCTTTCACCTAAATGCGCAGAACATTAACCGAATGCTAACGGCGCACAATGATTTATAGGTGCATTCTATCCGCTGACATTTCGGTGTTGTTAGGACTGCAGCAGAGCGAATCAGTGCTAAGCCGGCCATGGACGTTGGTGACAGTGTCCCGATTTTGTCTTGTCATCAGGAGGTGTCTGTGGATAAACCAGACGCCCGCACCCCGTCACTCTTGGACAGAGCAGCTGATTGGACAGTTTAGAAGAAACCTTTTTTTCCAATTGCCCTTGTTCCTTGCGATAGGAAACACTGGCAACCCTTCCTCTCCGATCTCTCAATACATGGAAATATGTAGGAAAGGAATGTAGAGAGTTTAAGCTGAAGGTGTGCGAGTTGTGCCAGTGTGTCCCCAGGGCCGGATTTACTCTTTGCTGCCCCAATGCCAGGTTCCTCCATGCCCACTGCATGTCCCCGGCATCGGGAGATAGGAATTCCACACCCCTGCCGCCCCTCTACTCCCTGCTGCCCCTCGGTCGGCCTTGTGGGAAATCCATCCCAGTGTGTCCCAGTGCCTTGTGTGTCTATGGGTTCTCTAAGACCACACTCACCAGATACTTTTGCATATGTGTCTATTCCCATCCCATTAGTTACTCAAGTTACCACGGTCAGCCTGTTACCCCCCCCCCCCCCCCCCCCACACCCCCCACCCCCCCACCCCCCCACCCCCCCCGTCCTCCCCAACCGCTGACCCACCAACACACCATGGTGCTTTGGTGGTGTGTCATTCTGAGCCTGATGAAGGGGAACCCTTGAGGCCTCGAAATCGCTTGTAATTGAAAGGCAATTTGTCATTAAATGGACTTTTGCTGAATTCCTAATGGTGTGTTGGTGACATTTTTGCTGGTTCTGACTTTTTCACGGTGCCGTCCGCGGTCGCTACTTGCACCCACCTGCAGGTTAACTATTGTTCCGGTAAGGAGCGCAGCAAGTCCATTATGGGTTCTCTTAGACCCACTCACAAGCGGCCTCTTCCCTGCTGTACATTTAGCCCTGCTTGCCCAAAGGGTTCCCTAAGTCCCACTCGCCAGATACTTTTGCACATGTGTCTATTCCCATCCCATTAGTTACTCAAGTTGCCAAGGTCAACCTGTGACCCCCCCTCCCAAATGATCTGCATCCCTTAATCCCCCACCAGCCTACCCGTACTCCTCCCTCATATTATATATGTCCACTTTAGAAGTCCTTTAACAGCAATTTTAATTTTTTTAAACCTGTTTGTATGTCTAACTAAAGGTGATGGTGCTTTGGTGGTGTGTCATTCTGAGCCTGATGAAGGGGAACCCTTGAGGCCTCGAAATCGCTTGTAATTGAAAGGCAATTTGTCATTAAATGGACTTTTGCTGAATTCCTAATGGTGTGTTGGTGACATTTTTGCTGGTTCTGACTTTTTCACGGTGCCGTCCGCGGTCGCTACTTGCACCCACCTGCAGGTTAACTATTGTTCCGGTAAGGAGCGCAGCAAGTCCATTATGGGTTCTCTTAGACCCACTCACAAGCGGCCTCTTCCCTGCTGTACATTTAGCCCTGCTTGCCCAAAGGGTTCCCTAAGTCCCACTCGCCAGATACTTTTGCACATGTGCCTATTCCCATCCCATTAGTTACTCAAGTTGCCAAGGTCAACCTGTGACCCCCCCACCCAAATGATCTGCATCCCTTAATCCCCCACCAGCCTACCCGTACCCCTCCCTCATATTATATCTGTCCACTATAAAAGTCCTTTAACAGCAATATTGTGCATGCTCAGGCAGACAGAACTCCCCCCTTTCCGCAGATTACACAGCACTTAGCAACTGTTGGTGCGGCGTTTTTATATTATATGCTGCATTCTGCAGTTTTAGGAGTGGTTAGCTGAAATTTGGCCACAGTGGTGAATGGTAGCACATGCAAAGTGCCATTTATGTGCCTCACCTGTACAAAGTCCAAGGAGAATGGCCAACAAAATGACCGAGAGGCCAAAAACATAGAACTGCCAACATGTATTAAGAATTCCAGGATCCCCCTTTTTTTCAGGGCTATAAAAAAGACATAAAAACATATAAAGTCTTAAAATAGGTTTTCTACATGCCTATTGACACACAGCTACACACACTAAGCACGTAGTACCCCTACCCCTGCACATCACATGCAGAAGATACATGCAGCGCTTATGATTAGGGAAGAGAGATGGGGCAACCAGTGTAGGCGTAGAAGAGGAATGGATGTGTTCTTGTGGGAGGATGGAGGTAGGGATGGGGCAGTAAGGTGGAGAAGAATTGAAGACTTGTTATAGGAGGAGAAGAGAAGGGATGGGGCAGTCAGATGAAGGAGATGAAGGGAAGATTTCTTATGGGTAAGTCAGAGAGATGAAGCATTCAATGGAGGTGGAAGAGAGGAACGGAAGAGTCCCTATGGGTAGGGGAAGAGGGATGGAGCAGTGAAGTCGAGACAAGGAAATGGACTTGTTCTTATAGGTAGGAAAAGGGTGAGGTGGTCAGGTGGAGCATAGGAATGGAATCATTCTTATGGATAGGAGAAGAACAATGGTGCAGTAAGGTGGAGAAGGGGAATGGGAGATTCCGTATGGCCGGGTAGAATAGAGGTATGGTGCAGTAAGGTGGAGAAGGGGAATGGGAGATTCCGTATGGCCGGGTAGAATAGAGGGATGGGGCAGTCAGGTGGAGAAGGGGAATGGGAGATTCCTTATGGCCGGGTAGAGTAGAGGGATGGGGCAGTCAGCTGGAGAAGGGGAATGGGAGATTCCGTATGGGCGGGTAGAATAGAGGGATGGGGCAGTCAGGTGGAGAAGGGGAATGGGAGATTCCGTATGGCCGGGTAGAGTAGAGGGATGGGGCAGTCAGGTGGAGAAGGGGAATGGGAGATTCCTTATGGGCGGGTAGAATAGAGGGATGGGGCAGTCAGGTGGAGAAGGGGAATGGGAGATTCCGTATGGCCGGGTAGAGTAGAGGGATGGGGTCAGGCAGGTGGAGAAAGGAAATGGAAGCGGTATTATGAGAAGGAGGTGAGGGATGGAACAGTCAGGTGGAGAGGAGGAATGGGAAAGTTCCTGTGGGTAGGGTGGAGGGATGAAGCAGCCAATGTAAGTGGAGGAAAAAAAATAGAAGAGTTCTTATGGGTAGCAGATGAGGGATGGAGCAGTACAGTGGAGAAACGGAATAGGCGGATAGGGAACAGGTGGAGAATGGAAAAGTTAAGAAATCTTGTGGGTTGGAGGAGATGGCTGGAGCAGTAAGGGGGAGAAGGGGAACAGAAGAATTCTTATGGGTAGCAGAATAGGGATGGAGAAGTCCGGTGGAGAAAGGTAATAAAAGTGTTCTTATGGGTTGGAGGAGAGAGAAGGATCAGTCAAGTGGAGAAGAAGGGAATAGTTATTATGGGTCAGGGGGAGGAATGGGGCGATCATATGGAGAAGGATATTTGAAGAGACCTTATGAGTAGGAGAAGAGGGATGCAACAGTCAGGTGGAGAGGGGGCATTGAAGAGTTCTTATGGGTAGGAGGAAACAAACACAGCAGTTACTATATCTGGAAATTAGTTTTATGGAGGTTCTGGTAGCGTTTGGACAGGTTCTGGTAGAATTTGGAAGTCATAGGAATTAATTCAGAAGGGTTTTCTGTCTTCTATTTGATGTTTGTTATCTCAGAGGTAGCGGTCGCTAGCGAGTTTTTTTGTTTTTAATCTGTGTGCCAATAATTGTTGCTTCAATTGTTGCTGTCCCTTTGCTGTACACGGCTCTTGTAGCAGTAGGTTACATATCCAGGCGGACAATGCTTCATCAATTACATGGAATCAGTGTATTCTCAAATGACGAGTACCACTATTCTCCTTCTCCTAACCCGTGGCCAGAGAAAGGTAAGACCACCAGTAGTAGTATGTCCCGTGCTCTGTGCTAGACATGTGTCTTTTAGCACGTGGTACAAAGTAGTTGTGTCTAGCCGATGTAGTCGTTTGTTTCCTCTGTTAACCTCCTTGACTTGCTCATGTATTGTCATTTTTTTTTTTTTCAAGCGTCACCCAACATGACATAATACCTCCTTCACCGTGATGTCACACATAACATTAGCACTAGGGCACACCCCAGTCTTCTGTATGATGACCTCATCACAATTGGTTGAGAAAGACAAGAGAGTTTTTATAGAGGAATTATTCAGGTTATCGGTAAAAGAATCACAATTGTGCCGTTATTAAAGGAGAACTATGGGGGGTCAGTGTTTTTCCCCGTAGTTGTGTGTCACGGGAGGACATATACTAGCGTCCTCCCGTGACCCAAAGCTCTGTATATCAGCCGGCTACAGCTTGCGGTATACTGAGACGCCGCACCCGGGACGGATCCCGACATTACTGTCAACTCTCCTCGCAGCTAAAATGGCCTCCGCTCTCCTGGGATGGCTTTCCACAAGATTTCGGAGTCCGTCTGTGGAAATTTGTGCCCATTTAGCCAGAAGAGCATTTGTCAGGACCGACGTTGGATTAAAAGACGTGACTTGCAATTGGCATTCCAGTTCATTCCCAAAGGTGTCCA